GCGCCAGTTGTATGCAGTGGGAATTCCGTCGAGATGCCCATAACGTCTTCTAGCCTTCTCACCGCAGGGATGAGGCCTCCAGCGTGTTGTGGCTGAGTGACTTGAGCGAGATACAGTCCGCCATTGGTGTGGTGGAAGCGACCGCCGAGCACAAAGCGAATGAACGCATCTTCCGCGTCATCTACGTCTTCGCGATCTGCGAAGTCCCCTGCCAAAACTGGCAATGTTTCGCATGACATTGCGACCTTGTCGAGCCACTCGTAGGGAGCACTTGGCATCCTGGTGCACGATTTGTACTTTGAGGGAGAAGAGCAAGAAGCTGAGTAGTCAAGAAACTCGCCTATATATCACCACTCCTTGGTTCTCAATGTGCCCTAGTACCGAGCTTAATGTTCCTGTGACCGCTGCGGCCCCAATTTATGTGCATACCGCGTCTGTGGTGTTGATGCTGCCTTATCTGTGAAACTCTCGCAGAAATTTACATCATGATGGTGGTGCTAGCCTTACAAGGCAACCTACCGAGCTTCTGAGCATCTGGCTGCAAACGCCAAAGATGGAACACATCGCCTGGTGGGTGTGGTCGCTATGAAGGCCATCTCCGTCCTTCCGTCGTTAGTTTTTGGCAGCCCACTGGGCACACACAGTTAAAGTAGGCCAGCCAGTGGTCCGTTTCGGTTAGCTCGCCAACGGCGGCCTACATTTGGAACAGAAACGATTGTTAGGATGCACGGTTGTATTATGCTCGCCGCTGGCGGCTGCCTGCGAACAACTGCCAGTAACGAACTGGTGCGCGGATATCTTCGCTCATCACCCGCCAATGGCGGTTTACTCTTGAATGAGAGCAACGCACCTGGGTGTAACAATAGCCCAGCCGCCAGTAGCGGCTGAGTACAACGGACCGACGTCTGCAATAGAGGGCGTGTGAAAAGACAGCTTCCTGATGGATGGCTGCTACGGCGCGTGGCGCAGTAGGAAGTCAGTGTAATACCTGCCAATGGCGGCCTACTCAGGAATACGTGAACAGCGAAAAATACAGCACAGAGCGGGACAACGATCCGGCCGCCGGTGGCGGTCAAGCACTGACCAGGCTCAAAACCCGCATGCGGGTCTAGTTTGCAGCCAACGGCGCGGTAGGGCACAGAAATGTTTAAACACAGCACCCGCAAGAAGGGGCATTATCATATATGAGTCCGTGCAGATGAACTGCAGCGCGAATCATGGTTCGCAGTGGCAGACCGGTCGCCACTGGCGGCCGATTGCCTACTTTTCAAACGTGTGCGTGGTTTGTTCTGGATATTGTGAATCGACCTCCGGCCGCCAATGGCGGCTGCGCGCTTGGTATGGCCACTTCCTCTGAATGAAGTCTTATAATTCATGTTATACATACAGCAAGCGTGAGAGAGAGGGGTTCTCGCCCACTAGATGAGTTCTTAGTGTTGCCTCCTCGTTCTGCTTGAGACTACAACGACGCTAGCAACGACGGCATTAGTGAATACCAACTTCCACAGGCTGCCAGAAAGCCCACCCGCCACTGGCGACCGCTTTCTCTTTGCTAGTATTTACAGCTGCTGCCGCTCACTCACCTTCTGCTCCATATCTGATAAGTAATGCATTGATTCATGTAAACTATCAGAATCAGATCATAAGCAGCTTTAATAGCTTGCACTAATGTCCAATCTATTAACTATACAGTAGTCTCTACTATGTTTCAGTGCTTTAAATGAGCTGCAGCTCTCTAATAACTTCAAGCCATCTTCTATCAAGCTTGAGCACTCATTTAAGCTGATACAATATCTATTGCCCTTGTTGCACTCAGCTAGTGGTTGAGGCTCCAGTCCAGTCTGGTCTTTTTTAGAAATTGTATTAGACCAGGACTCTGACCAGTCAAGAACTAGCATCAGTTTGTTTAGAATCAGACCAAGACTGAGTCCTGGTCTTGTACAGTCCTCTTTGCAGTTCAAGACTAGTCATAACTGGTCCAGGACTGAGTTCGGTTCTAAACTGGCTCAGACTAGCTCAGACTAGTTCTCCCCCAGCTAATATTGTACATGTCGGAAAATTCTAGACCCCCTTGCAATGTTTGGATATTGAGAGCAGCTTGAGCGACTCTTTCAAGGGGTTTCAATAAGCGATCAATGATTGGGTTTCCATTCCAAGTACGTCTGCAAAATTACAGCGTATATGCCACGCTGCAACATCTAAACGCCCTTGTAATGTTTCTAATCGGGACTGCAACACCTTGAGACAGCTTGAGTTCCCCGTAACCCCCATTCAGGGTTTGAGTATGTTTGGACGACGCAACGGTGCTACTTATTGGTCGGACAGAGACGGAATCGTAACTCAACCATCTCTGTCTTCAACCGCCATCTCATTGGCTCTCCCCCTCAGCGTCAACATCTTCAGCTCCCTCGTTCTGTCCTGCGGCAGTACACCAGGATGTATAGTCCAGAGTACTCTGGTAAGTTTGGAGCCTCGTGTCCTCACTCAGCTGGCTGAAATTTACTGACTACCGAGCGACATATAGGATTGCCATGGCGGCTGCAGCTGGAGGCGACCTTATCCATATATTCAACAAGCACCAGCCCTCTCATGCCCCATACACCAGCCACCCGTAACGTCCTGGAGCTGCATGCGTCGTCGGCTGTGCCCGGGCAGCTGTCGAAGCTGCCAACAGCATCTCCAATGCCTACGCTCCAATCCGGCTAAGTACCACTGAAGGATGTAGCACCCCCCATGTTAGAAAAGGTATGTTACCTGCTATCACACCATTGAGTTACTGAGCTAATTGCATTTCCAGCACCGTGACATTTTGCTTATGCAGCTAGTGAGTACAGCCATTACCTCTCTATGATATATCTGTATATTATTGCCTGTTGTGTATGTAGTACATGTATAAACTATCATAATATGTTTGTTTTAAAAGATTTGAGTGCTATCGAGACCAGTCAACGGCCAATATGAAGCCCAAGGATGAGCTGCCTGGTCGCCTGTCCGGCGCCTCAGTAGCCCAAAATAGTATATTGAACAGACATTGCGGGCACCTTGAGATGCCTCGGAATAGAATGTCGGCGTCTCTCAATACTAACGTTCTTTAAGCAATGTCTTGATCTCATTGACGCCTTGACTTGCCTTGAAAGGCATTTCAAGGGGAATTTTATTTTTCTGACACAGATCAACAAATTTCAGCTTAGAGCCACATGTACAAGTAGACTACCAGTATACTAAGCCAATTTCAGGACAAATTGGCCATGAGACCATATTAATTGGCCAATTCAGGAAGCTTAATCTGCCAAAGCAACATTCCAGCATACAGTAGACATTGCACAGCTTATCTGTATGACAATGTCATGAAATCCAAGCCAACAGGTGGTCAAAATACCCCACTTCGCTTCTCTGAGGCACTAGGTAATGCTAAAGCCTCTGAGTTGAAGACAAAATCATGTGCAAATGCAGAAGGGTGCTATGAGACCTGTAGATAACACAACACTGTTTGCAGGGCACCCACATCGAGGTACTGCACAATGTGTACACTAGTGGATGAACTCTCAGATAGGCATGAGATGGTTCATTTGTGATTCTGAGTGCAGCCACTTGAGAGTGCACAAAATGTCATGTCACACCTTAGAACCTTGGTCTTCTAAATAATAGTGATATAAACTTATATGAATGGCTGTGATTATGTATAATGCAATGATGTACCAGCAATACAAGTGTTGCAACAATTTCTTGTTGATATGAAATTCAAGTTTCTGAACAACTTTATCAGTGTTCTGTATTTATATTATATCTCAAAGCATGTATTCAGATCACATACTATGCAAGAAAATTGTTTGCATGTTGTACATGACTGTGTGTCTACATGTGGCAGCTGTGGAACTGCTGACAAGGTCAATCCACAGCACCTGCCTAATTAGAATGCAAGCTGCAATCCAAGCCAAGCCAAACCAAGCCACTGGCTCATGATCTGCAACGACCTGCAGCTCAGCTAGTGATGTGCAGGCCAGGTTTCAAAGCCTGCAAGCCTGCCAAGCCTGGTCTGAGTCAAGCCTGGCAGTGGGCTCAAGGCTGGGCTTGGAGCGTAGTCAAGTCCAAGCTCGGCCCGAAAGCCCAAGCTTGGGTGTGCTGGCTCCATCACTATTCTCTGAGTTCAGAATAAAGAGAGAGCAACCTAATATGTACATAGAAGACAAAATATAGATATTCTAGACGTAATGGCTTCTGCTGAGCACAATTGTGCGTTACCGTCTGGTGCCTACTGTAGGCGCGCACTTGTGGACTTCGCTGCGACTCGACTTGTTCCGCAGGTGTAGATCTTCTGGAGGTTATAATTTAGTGAGTACATGCAGTATTAATCTACTACACTCAAATACATTCCCTTTTGATAGCACCAGAACACTCGTTATATTGTGATCAAGCCCAAAGCTTGGACCAGATTTGAGCTCAGCTCGACATCGCCACAAGCCCAAGCCCACACATTACTAAGCTCAGCTTGTGTTTTTGTAAACCTGAGCCTAGTGAAGCTAAGCTAACGCCATCAGCTTCTGAGCTAAGCTGAGTTAGTCAAATTGTTACTTTTGATCAGTCCGTGACTGGTCCTGACTGGTTATGACCAGTTCTAAAAATATTCAAGGCCACCTGGAACCAAAAACTATGACCAAGACTGGACCAACATAGGACTGGACTGTATCCAGTCCTAATCAGTCCAGTCTGAGTTTGAGTCCTAGTTTCAACTGGTTCTTAAAACCAGATATTCTACTCTTCTTTTGGAGGGGGGTTGGTGGTTAAAATGTGGGTTGTGTGATTAAAAATCTGCAAGCACTGTGAAAAGAGTCAAATGCACTCTGGAGAGCACTTTCGGATGTAAATACTGTCAAATGGCAATATTCAGTGACTCACAAGAAAAATACCTGATCGCGCAGTGGCGTGTGATCAGGAAATATATCATGTTGTAAATACTCATATAAAGCAATACCATGTAATGAAACAGTATTGTGTTAAAAACCCGATCGTGCAGCGGCGCGCAATCAGGAAAAACATCATATTGTAAACACTGATATGAAGCAATACCATGTGATGAAGCAGTATTGTGTTAAAAACCCGATTGTGCAGCAGCGCGCGATCAGGAAAAACATCATATTGTAGACACTGATATGAAGCAATACCATGTGATGAAATAGTATTATGTTAAAAACCCGATCGTGCAGCAGCGCGCAATCAGGAAAAACATCATATTGTAGACACTGATATGAAGCAATACCATGTGATGAAATAGTATTAT